TTTGAGAGCATTCATTTCTCTGCACCCTCACTGAGACTGAGTATTAAAACTAATAATTAACCCTTATCTTTTTTCCCCAACTTTAATTTGGAAAAATTTCAGAATTCAGCAAGATTGAAAAAACGGCACAATGAACACCAGTATACCCTTCATCTAGGTTCGCCAAATGTTAACTTTTTGCAACATTTGTTTTCTCTTTTTTTCTGAACTTTTTTAAAGTAAAATAATTTATTCTTAATTTGATGTATTCTGTGGACTTCAGCCCTAATTCCAGTAATCTATTGAACACACAGCATTGCTAGTTCATGTACCACAGCCTACAGGTTTACTTCAGTCAATGGCCAATTTTTGGGCAAAGGAGAAATTCAGTTTTTAATGGCATCATGGAAATATGGCTTGTGTTTAAACTTTAAGTAGTGTATTCTTTAGACAAATGTAAATAGTAAAAAAAATACAAATTTTAAATGTGTGAGGAAAAACATAAAGAATATTGCTTATTTTTCTTGAAAATAACGGTGATTCAAATATTTCATTCAGATTTACCTATACCTAATGAGAAAAATGATATGGAACTTGAGTCTCCACCTGCAAAGAAAAAAAGAATAGGTTTTTTCCAGACTTACGATGTGGAATATTTAAAAGTTGGTTTTATTATCTGTCCGGGATCAAAAGAAAGTTCACCAAGGCCACAGTGTGTCATTTGTGGAGAAATCTTATCCACTGAAAACATGAAGCCAGCAAATCTTTCTCATCATTTGAAGACAAAACATTCAGAATTAGAAAACAAACCCGTAGATTTTTTTGAACAAAAATCTCTTGAAATGGAATGTCAAAACAGTTCTTTAAAAAAGTGTTTACTAGTTGAAAAGTCACTTGTGAAAGCTTCTTATTTAATTGCTTTCCAAATTGCTGCCAGCAAGAAGCCATTTTCTATTGCTGAAGAATTAATTAAACCATATTTAGTAGAAATGTGTTCTGAAGTTTTGGGTTCAAGTGCCGGAGACAAAATGAACACCATTCCTCTTTCTAATAATACAATTGGACACAGGATTGATGAACTGTCTGCAGACATTGAAGATCAGCTGATTGAAAAAGTCAGAATGTCAAAGTGGTTTGCCCTTCAGGTAGATGAGTCATCAGAAATCTCCAATATCACCCTTCTTTTGTGCTATATTCGATTCATTGATTATGACTGTAGTGATATAAAAGAAGAATTATTATGTTGCATTGAAATGCCTTCTGAAATAACTGGTTTTGAAATATTTGAACTAATAAATAAATACATTGATAGTAGATCTCTGAATTGGAAACATTGTGTTGGTCTCTGTACAGATGTGGCTGCAAGCATGACTGGCAGGTGTTCTGGTTTAAGGGCAAAAATTCAAGAAGTTGCCATGAATACAGTGGCATTTACACATTGTTTTATTCACCGTGAACATTTAGCAGGAGAAAAGTGGTTTCCATGCTTACATGAAATTCTTTTGCAGTCAGCACAAATTTTAAGTTTTATAAAGAGCAATGCATTGAATTCACGTATGTTAACAATTTTGTGTGAAGAGATGGGGTCTGAGCATGTGAATTTACCACTTCGTGCTGAAGTGCGTTGGATATCAAGAGGGAGAATTTTAACAAGATTATTTGAATTACGACATGAAATTGAAATTTTTTTAAATCAAAAGCATTCAGATTTGGCCAAGTATTTTCTTGACGAGGAATGGGTTGCGAAGCTGGCCTATTTATCAGATATTTTTTCACTTATAAATGAACTAAATTTAAGTCTCCAAGGAACTATGACTACTCTCTTCAATTTGTATAATAAAATCGATGTGTTTAAAGCAAAGTTAAAAAAGTGGTTGAAACGCACACAAGAAAATGATTATGACATGTTTCCTTCATTTTCTGAATTCTCAAACTCATCAGGCTTAAACATGAGAAGTATTGCAAGCATTATTTTTGAGCACCTGGAAAGACTTTCTCAAATGGTCAATGACTGTTACCCACCAGAAAAAGACTTTCGTTCAGGAAATTTGTGGATAATTAATCCTTTTATGAATCACCAAAATAGTAATCTCACGGACTTTGAAGAAGAAAAACTAGCACAGTTATCTTCAGATTTAGGATTACAATCAGTATTTAAATCAATGTCTGTAACTCAGTTTTGGATCAAAGCAAAGACAAGTTACCCAGAACTCCATGAAAAGTCAATGAAATTTTTATTGCCTTTTTCAACTGTTTATTTATGTGATGCTACATTTTCAGCTTTGACTGAGTCAAAGCAAAGAAATCTGTTGGTTTCTGGCCCGGCCCTAAGACTTGCAGTCACATCTTTAATTCCAAGGATAGAAAAATTAGTAAAGGAGAAAGAATAGTAACATGCATATTGCTTATTATCAAAGTCTATAATTTTGTGTTAAATTTTGTATAAGTATCCTAAAATATAATTTCCTAATGTGGATATCTGTTTTCAGTGATTAAATAAGTGTTTTAATAATTTTTCTTTTTGTTGAGGAATTTAATAATTATGCGTTTATACTTAATTATATATAATTTTAATAGTCCAAGGTAGAGAATTTAGCTATTTTACTGATTGATTGAAGAATCTGGATTAGTGACAAAGATGTAGGTAATGAACGGGTCCAGTTTATATGAATAGCACACCTGGGTATTGAAACTGCGTGACCTTTAGAAGCACATGATAGGACACTTCAGTTTTATAGCCAGCCAGTCACCTACCCCAGCAAGTTGAGTAGGTAGAAAACAAAGATCTAAGCAGCTTGGCTAACAGGAAATGGAAGCAGCAGGAGCGTTTGAGACCCTGTTAGGGGCCTTTGTGGCCCGCTAGACCAGGGCTTGGCAAACCTTTTTCATCAAGAGCCACATAGTGAGTATTTTAGGCTTTGCAGTCCATATAGTTACAGCTACTCAGCTCTGCGGCTGCAGCACAGAAGCAGCTGTAGATAGTACATAGACAAATGAGTGTGGCTGTGTTGCAATAAAAATGTTTATCTATGAACACTGAAATATGAATTTCATATAGTTTTCATGTGTCATGAAAGCTGCCTTAAATTTTTTTTATCATTAAAAAATGTAAACAAACAAACATTGTTAGCTGGGGAAGGAGGAGGGAGTGAAAAACCCAGACAGCAAACAAACAAACATTGTTAGCTGGGGAAGGAGGAGGGAGTGAAAAACCCAGACAGCTAAGGACATTTGGCCCATAGTTTGCCCATCCAGGTCCAGACAGATTTCCAGGGAAGAGCAGATGGGCAGGAGTGGCCTGTAGGGTTTTGTTCAGCGAAAGCCTCTCTTCCCACAGCCACAAGTATCTGAATTTTCAAACACCTTTCACAGTTTGATTTCAGCTGAGAGAAATTAGAGGGACAGTATAATTCTGGCAAAGATAGCCAAGAACAACAATTGATAATTACTAGTTATTGATTTATTACTAATAATTTCATTACTGATTTACAAATAACATTTTGAGCTCTTTATGCGCCAGGCGTGTTCAGAACTCATAGGGCGTTACTCCCATTGACCAAGGCCCCCTGGGGTTGGCTCACAGCTCAGATGGCAAACTAGTGTGGCAAGAGGAAGCCCCGGTCTTGTGCTTGTTACAGGCCAGATACCCATGTTTGATTCCACTCTGTCCGTATTGGCTGGGAGACAGAGACGGTCCCCGAATTCAGAGTGGCCCGTTTAGTCAGCTAAGAGCCAGTGGGCCTCAGTGTCCCCATCTGTGAGATGGGGATGCCCCCCCAAACGCCGTGTCCTCCCGCACCCGGTGCCCGGCCAAACGAGACGGTGGCGACGGCCCTGGAAGGCGAGGGCGGGGAGGCTGCGGCGCGGCTCTTCCGCCGCCCCGGGGAGGGTGGAA